TCGTCGTCGTCGTCATGTGCAAAACTGGACATTTTCTCCAGCAACGATCAATATGGACATGAGCCAATTTGCTGCAAGTGGTAACGGATGCAGTGGCAGTACAGCAGTAGCAGTTTGACTCTTGTTTGTTACAGAGTCAGTGGCCGCGGAGGCTGTGGGGACATGTGGGGACATTGCCATTGTAGGATAGGGGAGGGAGGGGTTTATATAAGATGGGCAGATGATAAGGACATCGAATAACCGTGGGGACATTCCGCGGCCACTGTACAGAGTCATCCCCCTTTTATTATGCTAATGATTTAAAGACTGCAAATTCGAAAGTTTCTCTGGGAAAATTGGCCGTATGGGAAAACGATTTAGCAGCAAATAGCTATCATTATATTATATGACCCGATATACATACACATACCACGATAGATATAAGTATCTAGATACAACAAACATTTTTGCAATACTGTGCAAAATCACTAACCTACCCAACAACGTACAAATACATGAATTGTGCCCCATTACACTGGCCTCCTATTATGTCCCCTTGAAACTTTTATGCCCATTACGAAACCAATTTTCCTTTGAAGTAAGTCGCAACTTTGTAGTAAACAAGGGCAAATCTCGCTGATTGCAGATTTGGCACACCATCGTTCGTTGCAGAATTACGGAAAGGGCATTTGTCATCAATATATATGGTATATGAGATGATTGAATTTCACTAGAAATCATGCGATAAGCTTGGCCCACCATATTTTCAAAGTTTTCCACACCACTAATTCTCCTCTGGTTAAAGCAACTTATCTTTGGGTTAGTTGATATGCAAAGTGTCAAACTAATCCATATTTATCGTGGGTGCGAACCAAACCAACAGCGAATGAAACGAACCAATTTATGTATGTAGAAAGAAAAGTGATGATGGTGGTGGTGGCTGGTTATGTGGTGACAGTGATATTCGCGGATATTTGAAACTTGGAATTTGAAACGCAAAAGTGTTGACAACAGATTAAAGATAAAGTTTTTGGATGCAGTGAGGAGGCTCATGTTCCAGAGGAGTGGTGCTGGGCACGAAGTCGAGTCAGATTCGACTCCGGGTCTGAATCAGAATTCCTGTTTTTTAGAATTTTCCATGCCATTTTCGAATCCGAATCCGGCATTTTGTGATTCGAAACTCCAGCCTCGTCAATATGTAAGAGCCTTACGCACAATTCCGAGTCCGATTCGACTCCGGGATTCAAATCCTGATTGAATCTCGGAATCCAAGTTCAAATTCGATACCCTGTTTTTTTAAATTCGTCAATTCCGAATATGAATCTGGAATTTTATCTGGATTCGACTCCGACCTCGTTCATAAGAGTGTTATGCACGAATCCGAGTTCGATCCGACACCGGATTTCGAATCTCGACTCCGAGTCCGAAATCGACACTCTGTTTTTGAGGATTCACCCATCTCTACCCCGAATCTGAATCCTCCATTTTCGAATTCAACTCCTCCACCAAATCCGGACTCATGTGGAGCACTAAATATTTATTCCAGCAGCAGAGAGCAACGACTTGATTCCATCCAAATTCTGCAACACACTTGCAACATCAGTACACACATACATAACACTTGATTGTGTACTGCAGACTTTGTCAGTCTGCTCATGTCGATGTCTCCCATCAGTGCATCGCATCTTCTTCCCCGATAGTCAATAAATAATCCAAAAAAGGTCTCGATATGTGAGCCCATCATACATTTTAAGAGAGTGTGGAAACTCGCCAAGAGTTGATGCTGATGCTGATGCGAAACTCTTCTTCTTGGACAAGATTTTATTGGAGATTTCTCATCCATCAGCAGAAAAATTGGTGTTTCTGTAGCGTGTCAGTTTTACGACAATCTGCACCGTTAAACATTCCTAGGCTCGAGTTACAAAAGTAGTCATTTAACAGGTCTGGTTTCTAGCTATCTATCCGTTTCTCAAGTTTTTTTTTCCAGATCACGTAAAACGACGTGTCCATATGACAAAACGAGAGTAATGATGTGCACTTTTTTTCTCAAAATCGTACCCTACCAGGCGCCGCGGAGGGAGGGATAATGTCCCCACGGGTATTCGATGTTCTCACCATCTGCCCATCTTATATAAACCCGTCCCTCCCCTATCCTACAATGGCAATGTCCCCAGATGTCCCCACACCTTCCGCGGTCACTGCTTAGTAGGGATTATCTCAACTATATAGCTATGCAGTGGTCGCGGAAGCGTGGCGACAGAGGGGCAATGTCCCCACGGTAGTTCGATGTTCCAATCATTATATATTAACCCTACCCTTTCCTATCCTACAATGTTAACGTCCCCACAGCTTCCGCGGCCACTGCCTCCTCCAAGTTTTATAATACTGATCGAAATAAAAATGATGCACGTTACAGATGAACACGGACTAACAACCAGTGGCCGCGGAAGCTAGAGGGGACAGATCAACAATGTCCCCATCATCCGCCCATCTTATATACATAAACCCTGCCCTCTCCTATCCTACAATGTTAATGTCCCCACACCTGTCCCCCCACGGCTTCCGCGGCCACTGCCACCTCCAAGTTTTATAATACAGATCGAAATAAAAATGATGCACGGAACGTACCAAAAAAGACATACTAACAACCCGTATATTTATTATCGGTAAAAAGAAAAGGCGGCGGCATGAGATGACGATCATCTCGTAAATCTTCATTAGATCCTTGACGCTCTAAAACTCTGAGGAGACATTAACTTAAACTTAACTGGAGAAACTAACTAACTAAACACCGCTTCTTCGATTCGATTGAATCTTTTCTGTCCGAACATGTTTCTGGAGTCGCTTTATAACACAATTTTACTAACATTGGATGTGAAATGTGTAGAAAAAAGTGTAAAGAGAAGAAGTAAACGCATTTTATGTGTCAAGAAAATTAAGCGGCATCTTAACTCGGGCTTCGGCCTTAAATTGAAGCCTGTCTTTTTATATGAAGAAGCCCCATAACGTAACGCTTGTCAAGCAAACTTGTGTAAAATATGGGCACAATATTCAATTCTGTCAAATCCTTTCTCATTAATGTAAACTTCTCCTATCTGATGTGCTATAGCTGCATAGCCGTGAGTATGCTTATTAGGTTGTGTCAGCTGCTTATTGGGATCGTTTTGTCCGTCCGTCCGTCTGTCTGTCAGCAAGGTATCTCGAGAACGCTTTGACATAATTAAACGTTGTTTTCGCCATTGTGCTTATAATTTTTAGTTTTCGGTCGAGTTTAAAAATGAGGTCAATCCGACTACCCCCACAGCGCGAGGGGGTGTGGTCCAAAATTAAATGGAACCTTAATTTCCATGTGGGGTGTCATTTTAAAGGAAATTTCACCACGAAATCAACCCCATCAATATTTTTTACCTCCGACCAACCCATGACCGTGAGAAGGTCAAAGGTCACTAATCATATAACTTTCATATCATGTCATTTTGCATTTTACTGTATAACGCCACTTTATTACGTTCATTTGAGACGGTTTACTTACACCCTTCTGCCACGGTTCAACAACTCTTAAGGACAGTTAGGAAGAAGAAAAGTAAACTTTATGTCCTTGGTGGGAATCTCACTTTTTCATCGCAAACCCTTTTCCCCCCTGCAGAAGAAGTTTTCAGTTTCCATGTTTCTAAAGTGGGGCACACCTAGGGTGTCGTGTACCTAAATTGAAAATTCTCGTATACATAACTTCTCCACCATGAGATATGTATCAAGCAGAAGATGAATTTCGTACGAGTTTTGCTTACTACTCACAACAGTTTGGCGTGATCGATCTGCTGCTTCTACATTAAATATGGCGACAGTGGCCGCGGAAGCGGGGGGAGGGGACATTAAAATTGTAGGATAGGGGAGAGAGGGGTTTATATAAGATGGGGACATCGAATACCGTGGGGACATTGCCCCTCTGTCCACACGCTTCCGCGGCCACTGGAGCCCACGACGTTCATATCTCATCTGTATGTACGAGCAGTGGCCGCGGAAGCCGTGGGGACATGTGGGGACAGTAACATTGTAGGATAGGGGAGGGAGGGGTTTATACAACACGGGCAGATAATGAAGACATCGACATTGCCCCTCTGTCCACACCTACGCTTCCGCGGCCACTGTATCCATGTCGAGGAAACGTACTACGAAATGTTACTCGTGGCGGTGACACATTTGATTTTGCGAGGAAATAAAGTTTGTTGAAAGATGAGGAGAATTTTAATCCAAGATTATGAAAGATTCACGTGCGTGCATAGCATGGCTCCCTTTGACTTGGCGATTAGTTCACATGAGTGGAATGGGGAAGAGATCCTTAACGGATAGATGGATGAGAGCTCATTTCCGATTTTACGAAACATGCAAACCTAATTCCACAAATTTCGTGGGCTTCACTGCATATCACTTTGATCACTCAAAAGAGAGATGATGTTTGCTGAGTGGCAATTTTACCAAACCCAAAAACCCACCAACTTTGTAATAGTCGTTACTCTATACAAATGAGATTTTTCCAAGTTAAACTAATTGTATGTGTGTATATATGTACGCAGTGGCCGCGGAAGGGGGTGTGGACAGAGGGGCAATGTTCCCACCCACGGTATTTCGATGTATAAATCATCTCCCCATCTTATATAAACCCGGCCCTTCCCCCTATCCTGTAATAATAATGTCCCCACGACTTCCGCGGCCACTGTATACGTATTCGCCGAACTGGGGTTAGTCTAGTTGTCATTAACTTTTTCATTTCGTTAGTTCTGCATTTTGTTTGTGTTTGGACGCTGTGCAATCCTCATTCCAGATTGAACTCGGTAATCCACGCAAATTTGATATGAAACAGATTTCTCTAAGCTAAAAAAGAAATCTCTAAAGCTGCTTTATGTAAATGTGTACATCTAACACAATTTATGAATGTATATAATAAACTGGTGAATATGAATTCCAAATTTTTTTATGAATGCGATGTTACGATGATCAAAAGATTGCTGTATGTCACTCACCACAAAAATGTGTCGATTCCTTATCGAAATTCCTCCTCGCGAAAAAGTAGTCCAAAAAATGATGCGGGATCAGTATTTTAGAACTTAATGAGAATTCCTGGTAGGATTTACACCAGTGACGACTTCTTTATTCGCGTGACACGCTGCAAAACAGAAATGAAACGTTATTAACATTTGTTACATGTCACAGTGACATTCAATCAAACGGAGAAGAAGGCGACCCGATTACATACACGAGTCAGTCATATTTATCATTATGTAAGTAATACAGTCACCGAAAACTGAGTCATTTGGTTTACCATGCATGCTTATTATTTACACGGATAATGTAATATGTGAGCTGATACGTTCCAGTAAGTGATCCATTCTTCTTGGAATTATCGGGCTCTGTAGATTTGTGACTCAACAAGTGTATTCTACATGTCATTTCGTCACTTTTGTGATGATTTATTTAACAATAACAAGATTCCCTAAGTAGCCTGGGCTTGGTGACCAGTAGCCGCGGAAGGGTGTGGACAGAGGGACAGTGTCCCCACGGTTATTCGATGTCCCCATCTTATATAAACCCCGCCCTCCCCTATCCGGCAAGATTAATGTCCCCACAGCTTCCGCGGCCACTGCTAGAACAAGGGCTAATTAAACGACGTATGAATTCTTCTCTGGCATAAATTTATCTTGTAACTTAACACTGTAAGTAAATGCACAATTAAGCTGCCAAACTTACATAAGTAATTTGAGCCAGGATTTGCATTTGACATTGTTCACATAATCATGCATTAATTCACCCAACGGAAAACCGCAGAAGGAGCTTGGAAAGATTAACTCGAAGTTTGATAACAGCTCTTCATTTGGCGAATTCAAACCCAAAATCTGCTACTTGGAAGGGATTTTAGTACTGATTTCTAACCATATGATTGTACAAATCCGTCATAAATGTTGGCCTCTAGCGACTACATAAATGCAAATTTTCCAGGCAGCTTCAATCAGGTGAAGTTACGTATGCACCAAGCTGAATCTGATTACTGCCAATTAACGGCTATGAAATGAGTTAAAGACAATAATGAATCAGAATCAGACAAAAGCAGGCATATGTATGTTTGTTTGAACCGGTCGGCATTAAATTTGTGAAACAGAAACATAACAATATGGCCAAAGGTTTCACATTCTGATTACGCAATCAGGGTAAAAAAAGAAAGCTGATATCTCTAGCTCATAAATAACACGAAAGAATCCATGTGTGGACCCGCAGTGGCCGCGGAAGCTGTGGGGACATCTGGGGGCATTAACACTGTAGGATAGGGGACGGAGGGGTTTGTATAACATGGGAAGATGCTGGGGACATCGAATAACCGTGGGGATATTGTCCCTCTCTGTTCCCACACCCTTCCGCGGCCACTGTATACACATGAACCCATCCCTGGAATAATGAGCATGAAATAAAATAATTCAGTTACAAACATGCATCGGTTCCTGTTACATAGTGACGCCTGAAACAAACCAGAGGGACCGATGTCATCGAGTACAACTAGAAAATCGAGTGAAAACCTGATGACAATTATGGGAATCAGTGTGATGCGACATGAAATTTTGCAGTGATGCAATCCTGCCACATTCCCCAGTTCAAATCAACATTCCATCTTTCTCTCTTGTGCGACTGTGACATTTGATTGTGGTCATGGCTTTACGTTTGAACTCGAAAACCACACATTATCATATGGCGAGCAGAATCATGTATGTACAGGGACCGCGGAAGATAGGGGGCAATGTCCCCACGGTTGTTCGATGTCCGCATCATCTCCTCAACCCATTCTTCCCCTACTATCCTACAATTTTAATGCCCCCACAGCTTCCGCGGCCACTGTGTATGTATGTATTCAACGGGACCAAATGGAAATGCCAGACCGGAGAAGAACAAACATGTCACGACAGAAGAGAAGACACGCAACCATTACGTAAATGTCGCAGGGGTAGTGCAGTTCAAGCAACGCATTACTGGAATAGTAGTAAGTTGACTTATGAATAAAAATCGGTAGACAGGGATTTTGTGAACATGACCAAATTGTATGTATGGACACACTACAAAATCCAGTGATAAATGTGACCACATCGGTGATAGACATTGTTATAAATCGCAGTTATTGATTCTCGGTATTAAAGTTGTTACCGGCTGGTATTAAAATTATACCGGTCCGTAAAAATTTGCTGTGGTAAAACTTTATACCGAGCTATTACTATACGGTATTACTTATCAATATCACTTTGGTATTAGAGTCATATATGAATACCGCTTGGTATTATTTTAATACCGGATTTCTAAGAAATTCGGCCAAGCTAGTGGTGCGTGTTCCCACGTGGTGATTCCACCACTGTAACCAAGCGGTGACATATATTACCAACTCGGTGATAATCCAGTGACAAAATTTCTCAGAGTGTATGCTAAGCTAAACCCTAATCCGAGAAGGCTGACATTCCAAACCTGAAGTCTCTCAAGAGCCGGAATAAAGGGCATCGCGCGTGCATACACTCTTGACATGGAACTTTGTCGTGAGCGGAGAGGACTTGTCATTCGGGGCTCTTTTTTTCCCATCGAGTCGAAAAAAAGAGGAAAAATCCTCTCCAAAAAAAGAGTCAAAATCAAACGAGTCGGACAGAAGAGCAGACAAACATAACTCTTTAGTTCGGCAGAAACGTTTCATGTATGTACACACTTGAGACAGAGCGATGCATGTTTTCGTAATCCAACACCCAATCTCACTTGAAGTTCAAGATTCTGGATTTTATTGTAATCCGAAAAGATTCTGATGTCAGTTTCAAATGCGTTTTTGAAGTTGTCTGGGACACTTTACGCAATCCTCGATCTCTCATCAGACGAGGGGGACGATGAAAGTCCATGAATCTTGTTTAACATGAAAATGCGTACGTGCAGTCCACATTTTTTGATAAATTCAGAAAGAGTGTGGATATGATGTGGGGACAAAAGTGAGCTTGGGGAAGTGTAATGTTTTTGACCGAGGTAGGCCTTATGGAACCGTCATGTCGGTCTGTCTGGCGACAACTCATGAGCTCGACTTGAAATTTGGTACCAATTTCGACTTCAAATTCGAAAAAACTGAAATTTTAAAATAATTTAAAAAATTGAATTACATTTTTTTCGGAACATTCCTAACAATTATGAATACTAGCCTTATGGAACCAGCATGTCTGTCCGTCTCGCAATAAATCTCGCTAATCTCATCATATCGACTACAAATTTGTCCAAATTCAAATTTGTAAACATAACTGAAATTTTGCATACCGAATTACATTTTTAGACTTTTTATCATTTGCATTTTTTGATGTAACATTTTTGCTGATTTCGAATACCAGCTGGGTCATCTCACAAAAATTTAGCCTGACTCGGGCCTAAATCACCCCAGTAATTTTTGTCCTTGCGAAACTTCCATCACGAACAAAATCACGGTTTCCTGTGAGACTCGGAGTATAATTCCCCTGTCTCACTTTATCTCTCCGGGTTGAACTCTGGTAGTGAACATTTTCTCAAAATTGGAATAAAGTAATAGGATAAAGAAGACCCGACCAAATGAGAGCCCAGGATGAAACTGCCTGCCGGAAATTACCTCTTCAAGTCACTTGGAAACGTTAAGCATGTGTGTGGACTGGTTTCCTCTTCCACTCTCCACGGACGATGAAGAGCACTTCCATAAAGTATTGAATGTGTGTGTGTGTACGTAATAATGGCGAGAAATCAGTGGATTCCAGTGTAAAAATGTACATTAACCATGGGTACTTACAATGCGATGGTGTCAAGTGTGACACTCTGATTTTGATGGAATTTTGGAATTACGAAGTTCAAGTCTAAACAACCAACGTTTCTTGACGCAGTTTGTACGATGGTTGGAATTTTTGCAAAATTTCTTAGGTCAAAGTTGAAAAATAGGCGATTTTTTGCAAGCGAAAGAACCAAACTCTACTGCTAATAATCACCCATTTTTCAACTTTGACCTCAAAAATTTTGACAAATTCCAAACTGCGTCAAGAAACGTTAATTGAACTTCATAATCCCAAAATTTCCACAAAATCAGAGTGTTACACTTGACACCATCCCCTTGTTAGTATCAAGAGTTACACTTAATGCGAACAACGTAGGTTCTGAGCACGTAAAAATGTGTGTATCTTTATCCAGGTTCAAGGGGGAATTGAAACATGGACACGCCCCTGCTGAGCCAGACCAATTGAATCTCAAATGAACAAATTGTACGGTTCTCTGTATCATTTCCTGGACAAGTGATTCCGGATCTGATTCCTTTATTATTAACTTTTTCCCCTTCTTTTTTTGGGTAGAGATAAACGCAAAGGAATGATGATTTACGGGAAGGAATGCTTGAATTATTATGCCGAAACTTGTAAAAATATGTGCTTTCCTGGCCGTGGGGACATCTGGGGACATTAACATTGTGGGATAGGGGGAGGGAGGGGTTTATATAAGATGGGGAGATGATGGGGACATCGAATAACCGTGGGGACATTGTCCCTCTGTCCCCACACCCTTCCGCGACCACTGCACAGAGTTACACTTAATAAGGGCAACGTAGGTTCTAAGCATGTAAAAATGTGTATTTATCATTGGCTGCGGAAGCCGTGGGGACATTGACATTGTGAGATAGGGGAAGTTAGATGTTTGCATAACATGGTCACATGCTGGGGACATCGAACAACCGTGGGGACATTGTCCCCCTCCGTCCCCACACTTCCGCGGCCACTGATACACTCACACACACGAATGTATCCTGTTACACGAAAATTCTCGGAAAACTGTAACATTTTCTTCCTTTGAAGATTTAAATGTTTCAGAAAAAAAGTGTCCTTATTTGCTCAAAGCATCTCTCTCTCTCTCTTTTAGCCAGAAAAGATAAGCTTGTTTATTTATTGAGCTAATTTCATGGAGAAAACTATTAACTTTTAAAGCTTAGAAGGAGAAGGAACTCGAGCCCTAATTCGAGTTTATTTACTGTGACCTATAAACTTACAAAGTTTTATCCATCTAAGCAAGTAACCCAGCCAAACACAACACCAAATTTTTCATGCGTTACTTTACTTCTGGTTAAACAACCTTCACATTTAGTTGACGAGTCAAAGGTTAAAA